TCCGGCGGAGGCGCTGGCCAGCTCTCCGCCGCCGCCCCGACGCCACACACTCTCCAGGAGCTCCAGGACACCACCCTCGGATCGCTTCTCTCGGCGCTAATGCAGCACTGCGATCCACCCCAGCGGAGGTACCCGCTGGAGAAAGGGGTGGCGCCGCCGTGGTGGCCGAGCGGCGACGAGGAGTGGTGGCCCGAGCTTGGGCTTCCAAAGGGGCAGGGGCCGCCGCCGTATAAGAAGCCCCATGATCTCAAGAAGGTGTGGAAGGTTGGAGTTCTCACTGCGGTGATCCGACACATGTCCCCAGATATCGGGAAGATCAGGAAGCTCGTGAGGCAGTCCAAGTGCTTGCAAGACAAGATGACTGCCAAGGAGAGCGCGACGTGGATCTCGGTGCTCAACCAGGAGGAGGCGCTGGCGAGGCAGTGCTCGGGGAATTTGATCGGGCAGCAGCAGCAGCAGCAGAACCACCACCACCACCATAGCCAGGTGATTGTGATGAGCAACGGGATGGTGATCTCCGGCTCGCAGATCCAGCAGGCCGCCACTGGCGGCAACAACAGTGAAGGGAGCAACGGTCTGGCGCTGAGCAGTACGAGCGAGTACGACGTGGATGGATTCGATGGCTCGCTCAACGTTGTCTCGTGCGAGGATGATCCAGCCGAGGTCAATGGGCCGCCAGCTTTCGTTGGATCGAGTGGTGGTCGTGGGGGATCCGGTGCTGCCACTGCCACCACGGCCAACGTGAGTGTGGTGAATGGGGAGCTTGCGGACGTTGTTCTTCACCAGCAGCAGCAGGAGAGTAAGATCATGTCGCAGCAGCAGCATCACAATCACATGGTGGTGGATCATCAGCAGGACGAGAGCTGGAACAAGCGGAGGATCCCGAGGCTGGTAGGGAGTCTGAGCAGTAATCTGGGAGGAGACAACGTGAACCGAGCGTTCCTTTGCCAGTACGAGGACTGCCGCCATCACGACCTCAAGTTCGCGTTTGGGGACAGGAGCTTGAGGAACATCCACCAGAGCAGCTGCCCGCACAGGCCGGAAGCGAAGTGTGTCAGTGTGATCCACGCCGGGAATGGGAGTCAGCACCAGAATCACATCCATGGCTTTGGCAGTCAAGCGCCAGCCTCGGTGGCGGCGGCGTCGGCGGCGACGACAAGCGCCTTAATCGCGGGGCAGCAGCAAGACAACAAAGCCGGCTTGTTTCAATCCGCGATCCTGTCAGCCGAGGATCTCTCGCATCCTCCACAGGCCCAAGCAGCACTGCTTGCGTCCAGCAATGGCACCACCACCCCCGCCACCACCATCACCACCACTGGCACAGCCACCACCGCCAGCAATAGCAGCCAGCCACTTCACGAGCTGCTACTGGGGATTTACGGTGGCAGCACCGCGGGGCTCCAGCTCCAGCAGCTGGTGGAAGCCATCGACCACAAGCTCGGCGATCATCACTTTGGCGATGGTGGCGGTGGCAGCGGCATGGATCATGGTTTTAGCGGCCTGGGATTTGCTCTTGGCAGTAACAACGCCGCCGCCGCCGCGAGCAACAGTCACAGTAGAGTGACGGTTTTGGATCCGGGACGCGGTCTGCAGCAGCAGCAGCATCATCATCACGAGCATCGGATGGATCACAAGTTGTTTAGCGGAGTTGCGAATCATCACCAGCACCATCACCATCAACAGCACCATCAACAGCAGCAGCAGCAGCAGCACAATCGCCAGCACTACCAGCAGCAGCAGCCACAATTCGAGGCTCCTCCTCCTCCTCCACCGCCATCGCACCACCACCACCATCATCACGTACTGGGAGAGAATCTGGTGCTTCACAACGCCGTGCAGGCCTACGTCCCAGCGGCGAGCTTGAATCTGGCCATGGACAACTCGAGAATGCTGTGCCGGGGAGCTTCGCACGAGATCATCACGGACGAGCCGATCTGGTACTTCGGAGCTTGACGAGATCGAGAGAGGCATAGATTTAAAAAAAAAACCATCGCCAAGATCGTCCCGCCAACTTTTGGGAAGAATGGAGAGTGTCAAGTTATAAACCACACACGAAACGCTTTTTCCTGTGCTTAGTGTTTGTATAATGTATTGTTCTCGATTTAATCTCCATAGCCATCCTCCATAGCCAAGAGCTCCAAGCAAAGCTTTGGAGATCTCTGCATAGCCAAAAGCTCGTTCAGAGGGAATCATCGAAACAAAGCTTTCTTTTTGGAGATCTCTCTGTTGCTAAAAGCCATCCTCCATAGCCAAAAGCTCGTTTAGAGGGAATCATCGAAACAAAAGCTTTCTTTTTGGAGATCTCTCTCTCATCCTCCATAGCCAGGAGCTCGTCTAGCGTGAAACAAAGATTAAAAGCTTACTTTTTGGAGATGTAAGTGTGCTCCTCGCTCGTGGTTGTAGGTCTTAGTCGCGATCTTAACCGCGTTGATGATGGTTTTACGTACGCTCAAATCTGGGCGATGGCGAGCACTTTCTCGTCGGTGCACTTCACCCGGCTGGGATTTTTCCAAACGGAAAAAATTCGAACAGAAGCAACGAACTCTGTGCGAGCGAGAGTGCGAGAGCGAGGTGGTAGTAGTAGATCTCCTTACGCTTGGCATTCTCGATCGAGCCCCTGGAAAGGCGAGCACTTAGAGAAACTAGAAAAGAATGCGAAGTGGAGAAGAAAGAAAAGCTTACTTAAATGGAGAGGAGACGAAGGAAGCAGCGAGCGTGCTTGTGCTGTTTTGTTTGCTCCGCTGAATAAGCTTGGCGCTCTGACCACAGCCACAGGCACACATGTAGTGCTCGCTCGTTTGCTCCGGACAGGCAGCCAACCATGTGGCCGAGACGCAGCGCCCAATCCAGGCCTAGCACCTGTGGAAGTTTCACGGCATTGTTTTTGCTTTCCCTCTGTTCTTGGCTCTTCCTCCTTGTCTTCCTCTTCTTGATGACTTCGCTGCGAGGATAACTTAACTGATCCACAGTCCGTGTCGCTTCTCTCGCGATCCAGATCCAGACTGACTTTGCGAGTAGCTTAACCGATGCCGTGTTGTTCGCTTGTTTGTAACTTTCCTCCTCCCTGATGATTACTTAACGACCATCTTCTCGAGACTGAACGGACAATCTCCTCGTTTCCTGTTCACCGAAGTACTGACTTTGAGAGAAAACTTGCGCAAAAACTTGCTTTTCCTGTAACCGAATCCTGACGGGATCGCTCTCCCGTGACTGAACTTAACCGATCGAGACGATCATCTTGTTCTTCGTACTTCCTTTCCCAGATGAAAAATCTAGTCAACCATCTCAAAGTACCGACTATGAGAGAAACTTGCGCAAACACTTGCACTGGATCCTCAGAAACTCGCTCTCCCGTGACTGGCTTCGCAAAGAACTTAACCACCATCTTGTTCTTAGTCCGTCCTTTCCCTGTGGCCGATTACGCGAGCGGGGAGCTTAGACAACCATCTCAAAGTACTGACCTTAGCGAGAAACTTGGACGACCATCGACTCGACAAGCTCGCTCTCCCGTGACTGGCCTCACGAAGAACTTAACCGATCGAGACGACCGCCGACTACGAGGAGCTTGAAAAATCTAGACAACCATCTCGTTCTTGTGACTGACTTCGCGAGGATCTTAACCAATCCGGACGACCATCTTGTTCTTCTTTCCTGCCGAAAGTAGCAGCATCTTGCCATCGATGATATCCGACTCCGCCACGAGCAATCTCTCGTCGTCCACCTTCGCGTTGTTCATGTAGATGCCACCTTGTTTGATGAGGCGACGAGCAACAGCTTTGCTCGGAGCGAGGCCGCAGCTGACGCACAGATCCACCACGGGGCCGACGACGATGGACGAGTCGAGCGTGCACGACGGTACGTCTTTGGAGATGGCCTCGATCGCTGTCCAGTCCAGCGTCGTGGTGCTTCCAGGAGCCAGTGCCTGTGTGACTTTCAGAGCCTCCTCCAAGCCATCTTCTCCATGCACGAACCTCGTCACTTCTTCCGCCAGCCTTCTCTGAGCAGTGTTGGCGACGTACCCCGGCTCGGACATGGATTTCTCCAGCGCCTCGATCTCCTCCAGCTCCACAAACGTGAGCATTCTCAGCATCTTGATCACGTCCGAGTCGGGTGTCGCAAAGAGGTGCTGGTAGAAGTGATACGGCGACAGGAACTTCGACGAGAGCCACACCGCGCCACCTTCCGATTTTCCGAACTTGGTTCCATCGCTCTTGACGAGAAGTGGAAAAGTGAGGCCGTAGGCATCGTCTCGTTGCAAGAGCTTGCGTACCAAGTCGATTCCAGCAGTTATATTCCCCCACTGATCGCTGCCACCGATCTGGACCGAAACGCCATTGCTTTTGTAGAGATGAACGAAGTCGTAGCCTTGCAGTAGCTGATACGTAAACTCCGTGAAGCTGATACCTTCTTCCAAGGCCAGCCTTCTCTTCACACTCTCCTTTGCAACCATCGTTCCAACCCGAGCAAACTTTCCAACATCCCGCAAGAACTCGAGCAAGCTAAACTCCTTCCACCAGTCGTAATTGTTGAGCACAACAGCCTTTTGCTGCAAGATCTCCGTGAGAAGAGCTTGGATTCCCTGCGTGTTCTTCTCGATCGTAGCTTCATCCATGACAGGTCTCTCAGCACTCTTTCCCGATGGGTCGCCTATTCTTCCAGTCGCACCACCTAAAAGAGCCACGGTCTCGTGACCACACCGCTGGAACCACTCGAGTACCACAATTCCCAGCAAGTTTCCCAGGTGCAAGCTCTCCGCTGTGGGGTCGAAGCCGCAGTACACCTTGATGGGTTTCTCGTCGCATGCCTTCTTCAAGCTCTCGCCAGCAATCGACTCGACAAGTCCCCTCTGCTCTAGAATTTCCACCACATTCCTCCTACAGCGAACGCTACTCGAGCTGGAGCTGTGGCTGAAAATCCCCGAGAAGCTGCTGCTGACCAGTGCCGGAAAGTGGCAAGAGCTGCTGCTAGTGACAAACCCGGCACTCCTGCTCAAGGCGACATAGCCAGACGCTAGCTCCATAGCTATATCCCTGGATTAAATCTTGCAAAACTGTACAGCTACCGTTGGGATAAGTTATCTCTACTTTGTCGCAACTGTGGTAGCCTGAGTAGCTGAAACCGACGACTCGGAACTAGGGACTGCTTTGGAAAATCCAATCACTTTGTTAAGAGCACTCACGTAAGCTCGGACGCTTGAGACTGTCACGTCTTCGGATGCACCGGATCCACTGAGCAGGCAGAAGGTTGAATCGTAAGAATGAAGATGTAGCAACTTCATGGATTCTCACCTGAAAGACCTCTGAACAGGCTCTGTGCTTTGGGCGTGCGTTACTGGAGTCGAGTTCTCGGCACGTATCACGACTCTTGTGTTGGCGATTGCATCGATTCCTTCAGTAACAGCGTTCATGGAATACTCCAAAAGAGTTACTGGAATCTGTAAGATTGTTCAGTGCAATGCAAAAGTTTCCTCAAGGAAATTTGATTACCTGAACGATTGAATCAACTGCCTTGTATGCTGCATCCACAGGCCCCGTTCCAATGGACGTACCAACACGTTGAATGTTATCTGGACCAGATAACTTCACGGTCGCTGTTGATAATCCCAGGGTTCCACACACGACCTGTTGTTTCAAGAAAGGTATTCAAACAGTGAGCCGAAGCAACAGCAAAAGCAGCAAACCTGGAGGTCCAAAAGAGCCCACACAACTTCTGGTTGAAAAACTTCGTCCGATAACAAAGCTTCCAGGTCAACATCCGATAAGGACTAAAAGCACAGCACAGCACTTAGAAGCCGGAAAACATCGCAAAGTACAACATTACCTTCTTTTTGTCTGCCACAGCCTTGAAACGTTTAAAAACGTCATCCAGCTTCTTGGATTCTAGCTCGTATCCCAGCTATCAGCTCGTAGAATTAGACTATGGCAACTGATGCTAAAACGGGCAGTCATACCTGGGACAACCGAGTTTTTAACGCATGCCGACCACTAAAGATAAAAAGCTCGCCGTCAGGACAAACAAGCAGCAAAAACCATAGCTGTTACCTGTGCTTTCCAAGGACGATACCGGCTTCATCAGCACGAACAAGTCCAATGTCTTCCGGACACATGATCTCATAAGTTCCTTTAAACTTTAGCATCCCATCCTGCCAAGAGACAATTACGTGAGACCTCTTCCATTACAGTATGTAGATTTAACCTGGTGGATTCCGCTTTCGTGAGCAAATGCGTTGGCCCCAACAATGGCCTTGTGAGGTTGAACGGTCATTCCTGTATAGTCAGACACCTGAAACGCGCAACCAGAGAGAAAGCCACGTTACAGAAGAAACTGAAGTAAAACTCACCATGCGACTTGTGACAGCAATATGCTTGGGTTTGATGCCCGTGTGGAGACCATTGAGCTGCTCGTCTCCGCGGCATCTAATAGCCATGACTACCTACGACGAAGTAATGAGTAACGGGTAAACCCAGGCAGACTTTAAGATGGCAAACCTCTTCAAGCGACGCGTTGCCTGCTCTCTCTCCAATACCGTTGATTGTTACTTCCAATTGCCTGGCACCTGCATAAGCACCCTGCTCGAAAGATCAGACCCGAGAATCTCAAGCTGCGAGAAACAAAAAACTACGAAAGCAAGAAAAGTTTCTTCTTATGAGGAACACTTACAGCAAGAGTGTTGGCAGTCGCGAGTCCAAGATCGTTTTGACAGTGGGTAGAAATGACAACATTCTGGCTTCCCGGCGTGTTTTCCTTGATCATTGCTATCAACCTTCCAAACTCCGAAGGTAGCGTGTAGCCAACAGTATCCGGAATGTTGAGAGTGGTGGCTCCAGCCTTGATAACTTCCGCGAGAATTCTATACAAAAACTCGGGATCGGACCTAGAAAAACAAACAAAATTTGTTTTTTCGTGTCAGAAGATCAAGAACAAGCAAGGAAAAAAAATCTCCATGCATACCTTCCAGCATCCTCGGGACTAAACTCGATGTCCTGGCAGCCAAGGCTCTTGGCGTATCCAACCATGTCAGTGGCGATTTGGACGACCTCGTCCGGTGATTTGCGAAGCTTGTGCTTCATGTGGATCTCGCTAGTCGCGATGAAGGTGTGGATTCGAGGCCGGAGAGCATGGCTCACAGCCTCCCAGGCGGCAGCTATGTCCGCCTTGTTGCATCGAGAGAGCCCACAAATCACTGGAACATACCCGTCATCGTCCACCCTGTTGCCAACGTCGAGCGCGATCCCCTTGACCGCCAGGAGATCGTCGGGCGACGCGATTGGGAATCCCGCCTCGATGATGTCCACGCCCAGCTTGGCAAGCTGCCGCGCAATGTCGAGCTTCTCCTTGCTCGTCAGCGTCGCGCCGGGGGATTGCTCGCCGTCCCTGAGCGTCGTGTCGAAGATCCGGACGTAGCTGGGATCATCGATCCTGCTAGGGACGTAGATCGGCCGCTTTCTCTGAAGAAACTGGCGCTCGCTCGAGGAGGAAGCCAAAACCCTGCATTTCCATGGCGCTGGCGATGGAGATGGAGATTTTCGCAGCTTGCATTGAAATGCTGGGGATCCAGGGGCTGGAGCGATCACACGATGATCCATCGCCATGGCCGACACGGCCGACATCGCATCAACGCAACGCATCAGACGCACACAAGCCACAAAACCCTAATTAGGGTTCTAAAGTTTTTGGGATCTCTGTTCTCCCTCTTCGCTCTCGCGCGGCATCGATCGCTCGATGGCATTGGCCGTGACGCGCTACTGCCTCGTCTCGCTCCCGGTGCTCGAATCGGCAGCTGCGACATGGGCCGCATTGCAGCAAGGGATCTCCAGAGTCGCCTTCGACACACCGACTTACAAGGTATTTCCCCAAATCTCTTCTTCCTTCTTCCTCACTCCCATTCGTCGCAGTTCAATATCCCTGAATTGCGGATCGGGACGCTCGATGCGCTCATGGTTCTCAGCGATGATCTTGTCAAGGTACTCATAGCTCAATTATTTCGATGGATTCATTCTCAAGGGCTACTGGGAAAAAAAAATGTAGATCAATGGCGTGGTGGAGGGAGTGACACACAAGATTCGTCGCCAGATCGAGGATTTGGATCATCACGCTGGAGTGGAAGCGAGCGCTCTTACAGTCGATGGGGTACCAGTTGACACTTACATTACCAAGTAGAGAGAACGATTTGTTTTTCTTCTTTCTCATCCTAGTGCTCGGAATTCTAAAGCGTTTGTCGTGACTACTGACAGATTTACGTGGGACGAGGCGAAGTATCCACTCATGAATCCTCTCAGAGAGACTGCCGATATGATCCAAGACAACGTTTCCAAGCACGAAGACGACTTAAAAGTGAGTTTTTTTTTGTGTGTGATTTGCTCAAGTTGGTGTTGTGAATTTTCTTGCAGATTAGAGTAGCAGAGTACACGAATGTGAAAACACAACTCAGTGCTATCAATCGCAGGCAAACTGGAAGGTCTGTCGCGGTCATTCGTGCTGGAAAAACTGAGTTTTTGGTTCTTTGTAGCATGGCCGCGCGTGACATCTCCAACCTGGTGAAGCCGTCCGACGTTATCAGCACGGAGCACCTGGTGACTTTAGTGGTGGTAGTCTCAAAGTTTTCGCAAAACGAATGGCTAAAGAGCTACGAAAGTCTCACTGACTTTGTGGTAAGACAGCGCGCTCTAACCGCAAGATTTTGATCAAAACGTTTCAGGTTCCTCGATCATCTGCGAAGCTACACGAGGACAACGAGTATGCTCTGTACACCGTGATCCTCTTTCGCAAGGTAGCAGACAACTTCAAATCAGCTGCACGAGAGAGAGGCTTCCAGGTAAAAAGTCCATTTCTTCTTCACTGACGGCCTTTAGATTCTATCAGGTTAGAGATATCGAGTTTGATCCAGAGGGACAACAACAAAGAAGGCAAGAACAAGATAAGCTGAGCCGCGAACTCGACAGCCTACGAAGCTCCCTCCAACAGTGGTGCTGTGCTAGTTACGGAGAGGTGTGTGATCATTTTCTCTTTTTATCTTTCGTGATCTGAAAAACAATTTTCATCCCTCGTCGCAGGTTTTCAGTGCGTGGATGCACATATGTGCCATCCGGATCTTTGCCGAGAGTATTTTGAGATACGGCCTTCCTCCAAAGTTCCTGGTAAGATCCATCCATACCACCAAAGATTTGTCTATACAAAAAACCATTTTTTCTCGATTCACAGGCCGCAGTGATGGCTCCTAGCCAGAGAAACGAGAAGAAAGTCCGATCAATGCTCGAAGGACTGTGTAATGCTCCCAACAGGTAAAGAAAAAAATGGATTTTTTTCTTGGTTTGTGACATTCGAGCGTGTTTGATCGCGCAGTGGCTTTTGGAAATCTGACGAAGATGGTGGTGGCGTGGCTGGAATCGTGGGAGGAGAAGTGGAAGCTCATCCATATGTATCGTTCACTTTAAACTTGGCTGGATGATTCGTCCAACAAGACTCTTCCTTGATTCTTGTGAGTTTTAAACAAATAAATAAAAGATTCTCCCTCCTCTTTCCCTAGGGTTTTTGGAAGCGATGGAGAAGCAAGCGCTATGGCGCCCAGGGTTTTGCGCGCCGGCAAGGAGTTCTAGGATGAGCGCCCGGGCAATGCAGGGTGAAAGCAGTGTCAGATCGATTCCGAGTCCACAGAAGCCGATTCGAGCAGAGATTAAGGTACCGGTTCCTCCAGTAGGCAAGAACAGCAGCGCTGGCGAGGAGAAGGAAGATTTCGAGGAGAAGGCGCCGATTCCAGCTCCTGTGGAGGATATTTCGGTGGATTACTACGAGCCAAAGCTCGGGGATGTTGTTGTGGGGATGGTAGTGTCCGGGAACAGCAGCAAATTGGAAGTGGACATAGGAGCTCAATCGCTGGGAATGATGTTTGCGCGGGATCTTGTTCCTTTCGAGAGGTTCAAGCTGGAAGATCGAATGTGGAGGATTGACGACGATAATTCTGATGGTTATTCGGAGAGATTTGTTCCACCAACAAGTGGTCGGGCTTGTCTCGTGAAAGATGACGAGGCATTGGATGCTTCCGCTGGTGGCGATCTCATGGTGGAGCCTGGGACGATTGTGCAGCTTTTGATAATCGGGAAGACTTTGAGCGGCACAGCTTTGCTATCTATGCGGAACTTTTCTCGACCGATCGCTTGGCAACGAGTGAGAGATGTGAGTATTCTTCTCTTTATTCTAGCAGTTCATATTTTGATCATGGTGGAATTTCATTTCCTGCTTTCTTTTAGTCAGATTCACAGCGCTGAAGAAAGTATAGAAGTCCGGATTGAATCGTACAATCTCGGTGGGCTGATCTGTCGGATTGAGGTACTTCGTTTGGAGCATTTACCCGATTTTGGTGGCCGACCAAACTATTGCAGGGGTTGACAGCTTTCCTTCCAAAAGATATGATCCAGAACTCGCCTCGGGATATCACACAGCTGAAAGACTATGTAAGCTGGATACAGTTTCACTTCACGTAAGAAACTGAAGTGCTTTCTGTTGCGTATAGGTGGGAAGAACTTTGCTTGTGATGATTATTGAGGTAGAGGAAGCAAAAGCGAGAATACTTGTGAACGAACGCGCAGCATGGGTGGGTATCTTCAGTTTCTCTGAATAGAGTCCACTTAATGGGTACTGTTCTGCTATTTTTTCAGGTACAACAGCTTGCACCCCCGGACTCACTAGTTGAAGGTGTTGTCAAGAAGGTTGAAGCTTATGGAGTTGTTGTCAGCATTGATGAAACAGATTTAAGGTAGTTTGTCTATGTATCGAACCGGCTTGAATCGTCTTTTTTTTTTTTTCTTTCAGCGCATTGCTCCATATATCGAACATATCCCATCGAAGAATTGCTCGCGTGGCCGACATTTTTGCGGAAGGGGATCGCATCAAGGCAGTAGTACTGAGACCTCGAGTTCCGGACAAAGTCATCTTAAGGTGTGATTTTCTTTCCTTTTTTTGTTCGATATTCTCAAACAACTTCTGATCAGCACTTCACTCTTGGAGCGCGAGAAGGGATCGATTATCGCAGACAAGGAGGTAAGATGTTTCATTTCTCGTTATTGCTCTCTTCATTCTTCCTCTCGCTTGTTCCAGAAAGTGTTCACAGAAGCTGACGACGCTTTCAAAGACTGGAGGAGGGACAAATCGAAATTTTTAGACGATGTCCGGAGGTCCAAGACCGGCTCATACGAAGAGACGCTGAAACAAGCACGGGATGTGGAGACGAAGCAAATCGCCAACTTGGACTGGTTGGATTTTGAAGAAAACAAGTAACCAAACAGCCTGTACCCATCCATGTCTTATAAACTGGATGGGAAGTGCTTGGAACAGCCAAGAAGAAGAAATTGAGTGTGAGCCCTAGGTAGAGAGGTGAGGAGAGAATGGAACGCCTTCTCAAGATGGCTCGAGCATCCGGTTCTCTCGACCTCTCCAACAGGAATCTGAGGTACGCGCATTCAATCCTTTACTTGCGACACTAACTGGTAATGTGGGTGATTCCAGGGAAGTGCCTCCGCAAGTCTACAAGCTCCTGGAGTGTGTTGGGCAGGATGAAAAGTGGTGGGAGGTATGGTTTCGCATTGGACTTTTTATAAACCGTTTTGCTGGTTTGTCTTCTCAAGCTTGTAGATCTTCACAGGCTTGTTCTTGCTCACAACAAGATCAAGCTTCTTTCCCAGGAGCTCGGGAATCTCGTCTCTGTCGTGGTCCTCAACATCAGCTACAATGAACTGGAATCTCTTCCTGAAAGCATTGGCATGTAAGAGTTTTAGTGGCTTGACTTTTCTCGTCTGCTGATTCTTTCTTCTCAGGCTGACTTCATTGAAGACGCTCGATGTTTCTCACAATGCGATTTTGGAACTTCCGGTGGAGATTGGAAATCTAGCATCTCTCGTGAAGTAAGCTACAGAAATACGAACACGATCGACACGAATCGTGTGGGTCCTTATTTTATTTGTTTTTTGGCAGGTTTCTCGCGTCCAACAACCAAATTAAGGAGCTTGCTTCCACGATTGGACTGTGTGTTGATCTTGCAGAGCTAAAGGTGAAGATGTGAAAAATTTGTGCTTTTTTCTAGCGCGAGTGTTTGTTTCCAGTTGTCCAACAATGGCCTCACATTTCTGCCAGATCAACTGGCTTCCTGTTCTCGACTGATTAGCCTCAGTATCGAGGTAAAAGTGATTCTTTCTTACTTTTCTACTTTCTCGTTGAATCCGGTGATCCCACTTTTGTGACTTGCTTGTAGGGAAACAAAATCACCGGTTTTCCTTCAAGCTTGTTCCACTCGCTCGGTAATCTGACTGAGCTTAATGCAGGTACATTCTTCCGCCCGTTTCGGCATCATCTTATTTCTAGTGGAATTAAACTGCAGGAAAGAATGCTATAACTGAGCTACCAGAAGAAATTGGTAATCTCACTCGACTTCTACGTCTCGACTTACATCAGAATAGTATGTGCTCTATTTTCAAATGTGATTAGCTTACTGACAAAATTCCGCATAGAGATCAAGTCGATACCATCTTCTTTGGTAAATTGCAGTATGCTGGTGGAGGCGTATTTTGGGTATGTACCTTTCTTTACATGTGTCTAAAAAGTATATATACATTTTATTGTTGTTCAGAGATAACTTGCTTTCTTCTCTTCCAAACGAGATTGGGAACCTCCAGTCATTGCTCACATTTGATCTGCATGGTAATCAGGTGATGTTTCCAGTCCTTGTGTGGCTCCTTGTGTGATGTTTCCACTAAACATTGTCTCTCAGCTCTCTGAGTTCCCAGTTTCTGCTTGTTCCATGCGGCTTTCTGTGCTCGACCTTTCTAACAACAATCTAAGCGGATTGCCTCCTGAGCTCGGTTAGTAAAAGCTGAAGTTCCTGATTGCGTTTTTGACACTTCGGTTCCTACAGGCTTCATGGGATCGTTGAGAAAGCTTGTGCTTACAGGAAATCCCTTGCGAACGTTAAGAACGTAAGATCTTTGACCTATGCCAAAGTACTGATTGCACTTTCTTTTTAATGAGTGCAGTTCCTTGGTTACTGGAAGTACTCCTGCTCTACTTAAGTACTTGCGTGATCGTTCCACAGCTGAAGATGGTAATTTATGAGGCTGGAACAAGACTTTTCAACTCCAGCTTCTGATTTGCAGAATCAAAACCAGAAGCTGCCTCGTCAGGCAATATATTTGGCATGAACATCCAGGAGCAGGTTGTCCAAGCAGCACGAGTGGCAGTTTCTTCAAAAGTGTGGTACCAAACTCTTTCCAATTAATACTTTCAAAGACAACAGACTGAACTTTATTTCAGGCCTTGTCTCTTTCCGACAAAAATTTGGACCATGTTCCTCCTGCAGTGTGGGAGTCATGCGACCTTGTCCAACTTGATCTTGCTAAGAACTGCATCCAAGAGCTGCCGCCAGAAATGTCGATGTGCACTTCGATGGAGGTAATCAGCATTTCGAGAAAGCAGTTTCTTGTCTCACCAAGTTATCGCGTCACAGGCTCTCATTCTTGCAGACAATAAGATCCAAGAGTGGCCAGGAAGCGTTTTCGCCTCTCTACCAAACCTCAAGCATCTAAATCTTGCTCGAAATCCTATAGTTGCGGTACGGGGTTTTCAAACAAGCTCCAACTTTCTGTATTAACCTGCGTGTGTTTAGCTTCCACCAGGTGCATTCTCGGCCGTGTCCAATCTACAACTCCTGGATTTAAGTGGCGTGGTTGCACAGCTTCTACCACCTCCGTGCTTGTCTCTAATGACTGGCCTCCAAGAACTGCGACTGATGTGAGTAAACGTATACATGCTTTTAGACTCTCTCTAAAACTAACTTTGGCGTCTGCACAGGAGAACTCAAATGGCAGCCATCCCTTGGGATTTGCCCCGGATGTCTAGCTTACGAATTTTGGACTTGAGCCAGAACAATATTAGCGTGCTACCTCAGGCAAGTCTCTTAAGTTCTTTTATGTTTTGCGTGCTATTGCTTGATGCAGGAATTCGGTGAGATGAGTACGCTCGAAGAACTGGACTTGACGGACAACAACCTGTCTACTCTTCCTCCTCAACTGGTATGCTTTTCCCGCAAAGTTCTCTTTTTCTTTGCTTCTCATTGTCCGGGTCATCAGGGATATCTGGAACCCACATTACGCAAGCTTAAAGTGGACGGGAATCCATTGAGAAGGTAGCTCTCGCGATACAGAGGCTTTTTAGTGATCTTGGATTCCCTGCAGCATTCGGCGAGGCATCCTCGAGCGCGGAACAAAAGCGTTGCTTCAATACCTCCACGGCAAGCTCCCTCAATGATAGAGGTAGTGTGATTCTTATTATAAAGGTTGGATAGATTAATGGTTTTCTAGCTATGCTTGGCTTGGTTGGTATGCTTGCGATGTTTCCTTGTGGTTCCCATAGTCCGGATCAACAGGGATTCACAAGCTTTATTCTTTCGAGAAGAAGGTAAGCTACCGAGATTTTGATGGCGAACTTTGGAGCTGCTCCAAAGTCAGTGGCCACTTTCGTCGCCTCGTGGGTGTGTACTTCCATCGCGATTTTAGCGAAAAGCAGTCAAAGATTTGACAAAGTTAAGCCTGGTTCTTCCAAGAACAATAAAAATAGGATTCATCTTTCTCGTGTATTTTTTAAAGTCAGCTACCGAGATTGTGATTGCGATTATATATCCATCGTGATCTTTGATTCCCATGATGTCACAAAAACAAAAACTATATGCAGCTTTACATTAATTTATATCGAAGATTTTTGTCTCAAGAGAAAGCTTTACATTTTTCATACACTTTTAACTCCATATCGATGTACAAAAAGAAAGTTTTAATAGATTTTTTCTTCACGAGACTTCGAGGCAAAATGATATTTGTTCGTGTTGTTTACGAGACTTTTCGAGGCCGTAGCGTTGGGATCCAAATCCTAAGGCTGCTGAACGTCCGAACTAGACCAAGGTGACAATCTTTGATTGGATTTTTAAACAGATACCAAGAAAGAAAGGAAAAAAGAATGAAATGAAATGGTTTTCATTTCCATACCTCTTCGTTGCAGGATTTGAGCTGCGAGGATTTGGTGACCCTAGCCACCGTTTTCATCTTGCGATTGCTGAAAACTTCCACCTCGGCCAGGAACGCGGACTTGACAGGCCTGTGATCTGAGAACTGGTGCTCGGCTCGAGCGTAGCTAATTTGCTTGAGGCCGCGGCCGCGATACAGTATCCTGTCACACCTGTGCGTTCCACAACTTAGATCCAAAAGCTTGAATCATCTACCAAGATCACACTGACCAAGATGGTGTTCGACGCTTCTCTCCGGGTTTAGAGTTCACTCCAAAGTAGCAGTCCGTGTTCTTCACGTACTTGTAAGTGGGGGCAAAGTAGATCCCTCCTTCTTGCCAGCCATCGAAGACACGACCGGCAGTTTGCTCCATCTTAAGCTGGAAAAGATGGAAGAACACTCGATCAGCAGAGAACACTCGCAAGGAGAAAGAAGAAAGAAAGAGAAAAGATGACAGAAAACGTTACCTGGTCTCTAGCGAGCAATCTTTGCCAGTCACCTCTCGCAACCAAAGCTCGCGTCTCGGAATCACTGAGCGCAAGACGATAGTTCAAGTCGCCCAGCCAAACCACACGACTGTGCCGAAGAAAAACGAAACTTTAGAGCTCTCGAAGAACACAAAAACTCTATGAAGCTTACTCGTGCTGGAGGATTGTCTCGGGAAGATCCGAGCTAGACGAGCCGGCCTTGCTGGATCGATTAAACGCCGTCCGCCGGAGAATCTCGGCAACGTCGCCATTTCGTCGTAGCTCGTCACCTTCCCTGTCACCCGATGTCAAATGCGTGCAAACGAAGCAAAAGCTCGTCTGGTGGAGCAACATACTGACAGCAACGGAGCCCTGAGAAGAGAAGAAAATACCCGCAAGATCAAGAACAAAAAATCCAAAAGATGATCAGGAACAAAAAAAGAAGAACTTGGAAACGCTTACTTTGTTTCCACAGTATCCCATGAGTCCACAGCCAACGCAGCAAACTTTGAGTCCGTGGACGTGCCTGCGAAGGTTCTTGCGGATCCATATGCTGACATACACTCCCACCATTTGCTTGCTCACGATCCGGACGTAGTTCTCCGAGTTTCCGGGAGAAGCCATCGTCGTGTTGTCCGAGAGACAAGCCGAGATGGTCGGGGAGATCGCGTCGTGGCTTGGACACGGCAAATCCGCAAACTTGATGAGTGTGGCGTCGGAGCTAGAGCGCGGGATACTCGGTGTCCAGGTGTTGAGAAAGTTATGGTCCGAGGCACTCCGGCTCCTCCGGTGGAATCCTCCTCCTCCTCCTCGAGTTGAAAGTTTGCTCTTTTGTCTTCCATCGGAGTCTCCGGAAGAAGACGAGGAGGAAATAGTTGGCGATGCACCGCACTGGCGAGATTGTTCTTCCGATGACGACGACGATGATGAGAGCAGCGAGGAGAAAGTTTCGATGGTGTCGTCGCCGGGATGAACAGCGGCTGGAGAGGCTGGACAGCTCTTTGTTCTTCGCCGATCGCCATTGAGAGTCTTGCGGATGAGCGACTCCCACTTTGCCACGGGGCTGTTGTCGGCGGCTACCAGGACGTTGCCGGCATTCAAAGGAACGACCTCTTGAAATCTATCAGAGCAGAAAACTGTTGAGTTCTAAAGATCGAAAGAGCTCGAGAGCGAGTTTGGCTTACCCGATCACGTACATATCCACGGGTTGATCGACGTCCAGCCACTTTCGAAGATCTAAGTCGGGGTTTGGAGACTTCCCAGCTACATTCCAGCTCCCAACATGTATCCTGGACAAAGAATTCGCGACTGGTGAGCAAGAGCTTCTCACAAAATCGAATTTGGAGAGACATACCGGTAGTCGAGAGTGTCGACAAGCTGCGTCCACAGCGTCTCGGACTGTCCTCGCGCAAGAGCCACAGTTGGAGACGGTGTTTGCTTCGGTCGATCTGAAAGAAAAAACAAGAAGTACTAAAAAGATCCATATCTAAGTTGCGGAAAAACAGATTTTTCTCGAGACCTGTCGTTGGATACAGCGGGGGCAAACTTCGCGTTCGATTTGCAGGCTTGAGCTCCACCTCGTGCTCACTCGAATCTGCGGAAGAACACGAGCAAAAGTTTATGGAAAGCTTAGCATTATCAAAGTTTTGAAAGAATACCGGACGACAAGGTGCCATCGCCGCTGCTTTCCATGTCGTCGTCGTCGTCGTCTTCGTCGTGATCGTCCGCATTGAACCCGTCCGACGCGGGCTTCAACTTGAGCAGCTTGCGAAGAACTTGTCGGGGCCAGAAAAACTGCGAAGAAAGAAAAAAAAATATTTGATCTTTTAAATCTCTCTCGCAAGGAAGAAAAAATTCTCAAACTCGCTTACCTCCGGACCCTTCGCATTTGTTCTTTGAGCCATTTTTTTTCTTCCAAAAGTCGTGAGCTTCTTCTACCGAAAAAACGACCCAATTTTCCCCATTTTTCCTCTTTTCGTTTCTTTCTCACGCTACCTAGACACTAAAAAACCAATTTTTTTCCTTCTCCCTGAAACGATCGAGATTCCCTGCGACGAAATCGCTCCAAACTCCGTGTCGATCGAGTGGGATTCTTTAAGGCAGCGAAGCAAGCCGACCACCAAGACACGAAGGAAAAAAAAGAAGCAGGGGAGGAAATGAGAGAGAGGGGACGAGAAAGAAATAGTTGGGCGTGTGTGTGTCGCTAGCGATGATCTTGCTAGTAAAAAAGAGGGAGGAGCAAAGGAAACAATGCAAGTATCGAGCAATGCCGGCTTGGAATCTGATTTGCTGATCTCGCTCGCCGCCGTGCCACAAGAACCCAAATACCAACGTCACGCTTGGAGCTCCTCCACAATCGAGCCACAAATCCATTCCTTTCGTCCATCCTATTTGCTGTAAGCTACATGCTAGGATCTTTGGCTTGTAACTAAACAGCTCTATCTCTCTCTCTCTCTCCCTCTCTCCCTCTCCTCTCGCGCTTACTGCTAGAGAAGATCGATCAGAAAAATTGGAGAAAACCCAAGATGGGTCCCTGGCTATGATCTAAGCATGGTGGCATCAATCACAGATTGGAGAGATCCTGTGTAGTGGGCTCTGGGGCTCTGGATTGAGAGCGAGTCAAATTTTTTTCCTTGCCACTATGCTATGGATGAACTACAAGGTCTTAAGATAGATCAGAGAATCAAGTAAAAAGGGCCAAATTTTTTCGCCTTTAAGATAACAAGAAATGGCTTTGAATAGTCCTAAATAGTCTGCGCAGATATGTACAAATACCTACCAATTGGAGTGTATAATTTGACCCGTATCGATACAGTAGCACACAAACATTCTAGGAGAGAGGAAGAGTTTGTTGGCTTGCAAAAAATATCGGCGACTTTGCTAGAGTTTTCTACGCTTTTTAATATGCCCCAATGTTGTCGTTGTAACAAAAGAATCAAGGTATCGATGATCGAGGTTTTTGCATGGTTTTTATAATGTTTGCTATCATCATCAACACGAATGGGCCTGGCGATCGTCCAATTAGTTAAAAGCTAGTGCGGCTAGATTAATTAATTTTAATTCATTTAGTCGAGGAGCATTAACCACATGGATCGATCAATCAATCAATCAATTCGAACCTTTACAACCTTTACACAATTAAAATTTCAAATTTGCAGCTACTTATATTCCTCTAGAACCGGAGAATGACGCCCAATGATACCAAAGCAAGCTAGCTTGCCACGCGGCAATTGCCCAGTGGGGCACGTGGCAAGCCACTACGTCACCACCTAAAAAGCTTCCAGCTTTTACAAATACCAAGTGGCGAGAGTAAAAACTTTCAAGGGGACCACAAAATGCTTTGTAAGTTGTTCTTTGTTTTTCGTTGGGTGTTCTTCCCTTTTTTCTTCACGCTCGTTCAAATCCTTGGGTGGAATATCGCGTCTCGTAGCATAAAATCTCGCCTCGCTTGGAATGTGTGCGAGCAAAGAGTTGGAATCTATCCACTTAAACAGGCGCAAAAGCTCTCCGAGTGAAGCGAGGGGGCAATTCACTGTCTTGCTCGAGGGATTTCTCGCGGCATACGCAATGCATCTGGCGACAGTGGTCCTGAGGCGAAGAAAAAAATATAAAAAGTGTGCATGAGAAAAAAAAAAGGAGAGGAGGAAAGCTAAGCTACCTTTTATGTGGCGTCCAGGCCGTCCCGGGTTTGCAAACTTTGCTGGAAGTCAGGCCGTGGCCACATGACTGCATTGTAAGTCCACCAAAGTGAGAAGTCAATCATTCTCGGAGCCAAGAAGAAACAAAGTCAAGAGACTCGAGAGAGAAATGAAAACCAGCTATGAAACTCAAGCGAGAGGAGTGAAAAACAAGCTATGAAACTCGAGAGAGAGAGAGACGAAAACCAACTAAGAATCTTCAAACAAAGCCGAGACTAGAGTGAGAATTTCGAAACGTACCTGGGACGTTCCCACAAACTTTCAAACTTACCACCACGAATCGTCGTCCACAGCTCTGAGAGAAACTTAGCCTCCTGCAAAGTCAAAAGGGCCGATCACCATCAAACACAAGGACAACGAATGAAAAACCTTTCAGGAAACGCTGGCGTGACCATCAGATTCGTTCGTCAGTTTCCACCTTGGGCTTCTTCGCCCAGCTTTCTCGCAGTCTCGGCCGGAAACTTCCTTTCGTCAATGGTTCGTCCTCCTCGTCTTCCCTCCTGAAACCGACACGAACAAAGCTTTAGTTCCGTAAGTTTTGTATGTTCGCCTTGAGCACCTTCTTAAATGCGTACTGCAGCATCTAGAGCAACGCGCACAGCAATCTTTTCCGGTGTCCTGTTTGTTGGCCGAGCGATCGACAGGTTTCTGCAAAAGCACATAACTGCATCAAACATGCGTGAGGAAAAGAGAAGCGTTAAAGCCCGATCTGATCACTGGTCTTAATGCTCTTCCTCCGAGCTTAGGATCAGTGTCGCTGTCTGCCAGCCTTGTCGACATGGCTTTCGGCCCACCGCAGGAAGGCACGCCCGAGTCTGACAAAACTTGTTCCATCAACGTAGCAAGATGGAATGACAAGAATGAGAGGCTTCGCCAATGAGATGTTGAAAACTCGAAAGCTCTGCTATCCGTCCGAATGCCGCTTCTGCGAATCGACACACCAGCATCTTCACTGCTGCAGCCCCTTTCTCAAAAGACACGTACCCCGGAAGAATGCAGCACGAGACGAGAGAAATATCTCCGAGCTCGTCAGTACACTTCCACGGCCTGAAAACTATGGCACCGCTCGATACTCTTCACACCATCGCTGGTTTCGGCGCTTTAAAAAAGTGAGATACTGAATGAAAAGTCTACACCTCGGTCTTCCTTTCGGCCTGCTTCTGTGTGGAGTCCCAAAACCACGAAAATGCAGCCACTGACGAGATGCCAAAGCTCCACTGCCAATGCGTCACACGGAGAGAACTAAGAGACACGTATGTGAGCCGTGCCGTGGTAACCTGCGATTCAGGAGGAGAGTTCGTGCATGGGACATGTACAACAAACCGCGTCCTCTTCTCCTGTCTCGGCAAACCATATGTCCGGCTCCTGAGAGAAGCTTGTTTGCTCGTTAGAAGGATGACTAGATAATGAAGGCACACTGTAACAGATCTCAAAAAGAGCTCCGAGCTGCTCTGAGACGCTTTATACATTGCTGCTGGCTTGGAACGTTGAAATGGAATAAAGATATAGCTCACTCAAGTTGACCATAACATGGAAAGATGACAGATTTGTTCTCAGATTTGGAAAAACTGCCAAGACAAGAAAAAAAAACATGAGAACATGAGAAAGAAAAGGTCCAAATAGCTAGCATTGTTTACATGATTTGAAGAAGCAAGCACCGTGACAAGAAGCGATGCTCCTGCTGTCCCTCAAGCATCCTTATTCTTGTCTTCGTGTTGTCAGCACCAGGAGTTCCCTGTTGTCTTGCACAATATTTTAGAGCATGAATACACAAGAACAAGTTTCTACAGGAAACATCATCAACCCAAGTTAGAGAGGGGAGAATTTGATTGTCCAGTGTCCCGGCATTTAAAAACAAACGCTGAGAGAAACATCAACATGGGAATGCTGTACCTTTTGTCTACCAAACAACAGATGATATCCCTGGCTTGAAAAAACTTATTTGGAATGATTTTTGAGTCTAAAATACAGAACTAAAAGATATTCTTTTTTATTTTAATTGTGAATAATATTTTTTATTTTTCTTTTATTAAAAATAAAATATCCACAGGTGTTCGGTATACTATTATTAAACCATTGGATTGGCTTGTGCTGATGAAATATGTTTATTTTATAATCTTACCTAATTAGTGCTTGCTATTAATTTATCTAACTTATCATTAATAGAAATTGAGTTTATATATAATAGAAAATTGCCAAATATTGGCAAATAGCTTATCAACTACCACTATGGTAAAATCCAGGATTAGTATATGATAAATGTGAATATATTATAAGACTGTTCCCTCTGGATCTTTAAAACATGTAGAGTTAAATATAAAGTATTTATTATTATTTTTCCGTTGCGATAAATAAGATACCTTATACATATGGAGATTGTAGATGTATACTAAGTCAACATCCAATTTTTATTTATTTTATAGCAATTAGAATTATTTATTATTTAAAGATAAACAACTGTTTATTTTTAGAGTGATATTTTTAAACGTATAGCTCTAAATAAACACAAAAATGGTAAATTATTTCTTGTGGATAACCACCCTTCTTGATTTCAAAAGCTCATATTAATGCTAATCAAAGTTGTATAAATAATAATTGAGAAATAGAAATGAGATTACTAGGTCTCAAGAAATGTAAACGTTTTTATTTATTATTGTAGTAAGAAATTCATTCATAAAATATTTTGTTAACATTCAATGTTTGAAAGCAATGCATTTTATGAAACCTCTAGATATAGCTAGTCCTCATAGGCCTTTACTAGTAGCAATTCAGTGATCTTTAGCAAAGAGGATTGCCGATGAAACAAAGAAGTCTGTGAGAGAAAACCAAGGATGGGGTGACAGACAAAGCAAACTTTTAGCCCGTAAGAATAAATTACTCCAAATTTTATTTTACTATAATTCCAATCCCATAGATGTTGAATCTTTGAGTTATCTATCTTGGGTATAAAAAGTAGAAAGGTAACATCTTCCATACTTTCTGAAAATGGTTTATATGTGCATGACAATTAAGTATGGGTATTTTACATTAACGTTTTAGTTTGTTTTAATATTGAATTTTAGGACGATTTCCCACAACCGAGGAAGAGAGTCCCAACAAAAAGACTCGCTCAGATAGTCAGCCATCAATCTAGGAAGGCCACGCTTTCTGTGCTTGAGATTTCTGGAAAAGAAAAGAACAAAGAAATAGACAAACAGGGATTTTACACGCAACCTCTTGTGTATCCAATTTCAATGGCGATCAGATACCTAGTGACGAGGACTGGAATGAACACAAGTCATTCATTCTTAAAAATGAGAACAAAGACGTGAGATACTTACGGCTATCCCGTTTCGCTGCACCTAGTGAGCGGGAACAAGCAGCTTAAATGCGGGAACGCTTGCACAAACTTGCAAACCAGGTCGGGATCAAGAGCCTGTTCCATCACAAGTCCTCCACGGCTTTGGATGCACAAGGCCAGGGACTTCTCCGCATCCGCCAATGCCAAAACTCCTGCAAAGTCAAAGCCGCTCAGGATCACCAAGAAATTATCTTTTGATGACACGCACCTAGCTCGATGTCTTGACCGTCTTCTTCCGTTCCACCTTCGGCATCTTCTATAGCTTCTTCCTCCAGCTCTCGCGCAGTCTCGGCATAGCGTTCCAGAAACTCGTCCTCTGTTTCCTCGCGCTCCTCCTCTTCGTCTTCCTCGTCGCTCACCTCCTAACGAAAGCGAACCGACAGATTTGAGTTACGTAGAGAACATTAAGTTTAGGTTCATCACCTCCGAGTACTCTTCTGAGTTGTCATTGGTATCGTCGTCTTCGTTACCGTCTTCCTCGCCTTCTGCTTTATTCGTCTGTTGAGCTTCTTTAAGGCGTACCGCAGCATCTAGTAGTGACTCAAGGCACTTGCCGGCGATCTTCTCCGTTGTCCCGTTGTTGGCCAAGCGATCGACAAGTTTCAGCAGGCACATAACTGCATTAACGTCAAGAAAATGTAAGGCCTAATATGATCAGTCGTTGATACCTACCTCCAAGCTTGAGCTCAGTTTCAAGAACAAGGCCAGGATCAGCGTCTATATCTGCCAGTGTTGCCATAGCTTCGGCCCATTGCAGGAAAGGCTCTGTGACATCCTTCGTTTTTCCAGCCACTGACAAAACTTTCTCAACTATGTCCGGCAGCCCGACGTAGCACGATGAAATGACAAGAATGAGAGGCTTTGCCAATGGGACGTTGAAACTCGAAAGCTCTGTTAGCCGTCCGAATGCCGCCTCGGTGAATCGACACACCAACAGCTTCACTGCAGCCTCGCCCTCGAAAGACACCGACGTCGAATGTAGCAGAGTATGGGAAAGTCTGCAAGCCCGCCATGTAGCAGCAGCGTATGCAGATTCCATCCCCGAGCTTACGAAAGCAGCCATTCCTTCCAGAATGGAACGAGGCGGCACTGGAGGGGCTGGAGGTAACGGCGTTTCTGCGACACAAAACTGCTGCAGTGGACATCTTGCCTGTCAAAGTTTAAAGGATTTTAGTACGCAATTGAGAAAACAACGAGCAGTAGAGAGCTTTACGTTGAAAGCGATAATCTCCTCCATGGCATCAAAAACTGCCAAGTCTTCTTCTTCGTCCCACGCATTCCAATCAGCTATAGAATCGGCCCAGACTTGCACCAGGCGCTCAATCTTAAGCCTCGTCATATCGCTAGAATCCGATGTATGCTTGACGAGGCATCCGAGAATTACCGACGCGTCATTTAAGCACGACGGAGGTGTCTTTACTTGCTCCGCGTCATTCTGCATCGTACTTTTAAACGTAAGAACTATAACATCCCACGACCAAGTATACCTCGGGCGAACAGATCCACGCACGTTGCAAAAGCTGCGCAAATGTATTTCTTAACGTTATGCAGCCTTCTCTCCAGTTCTTTATAGGCTCCTCATCTTTCTTACTGACACCTGGTTCTGCAGAGTCCCAACAATGCGCTAATGCAGCCATTGAAGAGAAGCCAAGCTCCACTACCTACACCACAAGTGGAAGCATAAGAGACATTAAAAGCAATGAGGCTAACCTGTAAGTCAGGAGGAGCAGGGAGATGCCTCAGAAGTTCGTCTTTGATCGACACAACAAGGTACGGCACATGTACAGCAGCATCCTCTTCTCCAGTCTCAACAGTAGTCGTCAGTAGCTGTAGCGCATGCCTGGCATCATCGGCACCAGATTTGACAGAAGAAACGATCGCTTGCAGCAACGGAAACCATTTCACTGGCTTGTAATCCTCCTGAGAATTTTTTTTTCCTTGTTAAATTGACGATCACGAATTTTTTCGTAAAAGACCTCAAGAAGAGCTGCGAGAGCAGCAGCAGCAGACGCACGTACAGGTCTCCAGGACACACCTCCAACATTCTCAGCCAGCATCGCGGATATCAGGGAGTCAAACACTGGCTGCTTCAGATCCTAATGAAACACAGAAGAGCTTAGTCAACGCCTTGAGTTGCTCAAACCTCAGGCAAGCAAGTTGCCAATTCCCCAAGTAGCCAGTTCGCATTTGCTAGCAGGAAAGGTGACGGAGGCGTCAAAGAATATATAGGAAAAACTCTTGAAAGGAGTATCATTTTCAGATACTCGGCCGACTGCGACTTAAAAAACTGCCAAACGATAGGACAGACTAAGACAATCTGAGAGTAAGAGATAAGAAAGTCATACCTGCTGAAGGGCGCCATATGCGAGCAAAACTCCGAAGTAGCTGCAAAACAGTGATAGTCACAGTTTACAACCTCCTTTAGGACGTAGCGCGTACTACCTTACAGTTGATTCAAAACACGTGCCGTCAGTTGGTAGAGGATATCGAGACAGATATGGCATGACTAGTAATTCTCCTGCTGTCCCATCCTTGTTTTTCCCTTTCTTGCGTTTGTTTGGTGTCTTCCCAGCACCAGCAGGTCCCTGCTTCTTTCACAGGCATATGTCAAAAATCCACAGGTCCCGCAAGAATACCTGCCTTTGACGTGGCAATAACCCCAAGAAGATTCAAAGCACTCCTCCTTGGTGTCAGTAAATCGTCCCTCCAACCACACGACTCGTCCTAAATATCACAAGTTACGGTATGAAAATTGACAGCTGAGAAGTTTTACCAGGTCAGAGGGGAGATTTTTCCGCAAGTATTCATCTTCATCATCGTTCCAATCAGCAACGTCCTACAGAAATTTTTAAAGTAAACGGTGAGACAGATCAACTTGCATTGTACCTTTTGTCTCAGCACCAGAGCCGAAACTATAGATTTCTCCAACAGAGAAGAAAATTGTGGGGACAAAAGTCGCCATCCCTGACAAACCATTTGCGAGTCAAGCTACAAAATGCGAGAGCAGAAAAGCCTACAGGCCCAGTTTCTAGGATGTTCGCCAGCAAATCAAACGCCAAGGATATAATCCGCTCTTGCGCAACATGAATATCCTGTATGAGACACTTGTTTACTATTGTCTTCGAATGCGCATACAAATACCTTTCCTGTTGTGTGGCTGCTTACAATCTTTAGCGATGCAGCGGAAATGGCTGATAAGAATCTGAGTCGGGCATCCAATCAGTTCCTCAGAATAGCGAAAGAAACTGTCAACATACTGTTCGGTGTGTTTTCGATGTCGTGCAACCAGTGTACAGCATATCTGTAAGCAACGCTTCCAAACCTTCAGTCTAGAAGATTGTTCCGAAAGGTCCATGGTTTGATCGACATTGACAATGTCCAGCAGCGCGAGAACATCTCCGATCCAAATTTTGAGGCAGGAAAGTACACTTGCTGGCATATGGGATCCTATCTGTAAAGCAAAGATACACATGGAAAAACTTGGAGAGAGAGCGATCTTACAGCGAGATGAAAAGTCTTTGCAATCACAAGCAAGACGTTGTCATGTGGCGCAAATCCTTTCTCTTTTGACTTTAAGGCCTTCATATCAGAGCAAGAGTTAAAAGAACTTTCAGTGCACGCGCACTTTTACCTGTTCAACAAGGTGGTGGAAAAACCCGTGAAGCGGCACAAGCAAATCCCTCGAGATGAGTTCCAGAAGCGGCGGAACAGGTTCTCTCGCAACAGTAGGATCGAGAAAGTACTGCAATACAAAAGTCCCGAATCACATCTGATAACAATAGCTTTGCAATTAGAACGTTAAAAGGAGACCTCTCTCATACGCACCTGGAATGGCTTGGTGATGGCCTGAATTGCAAGAAGAGCATTCAGAGTTTTGTAAGGAGGAGCAGTGGATACATCAGCAACAAGATCACTGTTCTTGACCGCATTGTGCAACGCTGGAACGAGCTCTTGCCATGACTTCTCCTGGCCCGAAAAATCATGAGAAGCAACAATTCGAAACTGGAAAAAAAAAACCATGTCAGAAGAACATCTCTCCGATCCGATAAACTTAAGAACTTACAGCTTCTGTCAATAGATTGAGAACAATAGAATCCACTCGCAAAAGCACTTCCAAGAGTTGTTCTCTCAGATTTTTACGCTCGGCGCCACGGATCTTTTCCTTCTGGGCCCAATGCGCTCGCAAAAAATTCTTGAAATACGTCGCGGCGGCAATCGCCTGCGTCCCATTCTGATCTGCGCGAAAGCGATTCAGAAAGAGAGGAGCTGAGACAATGCAAGGGATTTTACCTGCGGAAATCGCGAGAAGGCACTCGGCAAATCCAGTGACGGCCTCGGCGCTCGCGATGGCGGCAGTAGCAGAGGATCTCAATGCATCATCGGGACTGGCCGTGTCGATCAGCCACGCCTCGAGCTGCGCCCTCGGCACAGCCATTCCTCCAAAAGCGTCACGAACCCTAGAGCAAATAAAATTCAAAAAATTAGGGCTCTTCCACTTTCGGCGAATGGAAACGCGCCACGTGGAAGATACGTGCCACGTGTTGTAGACCTGCTGAAGTCAAGCAAGGGTATAGCCAGCACTCACCACGCACAGATCCAAGCTTCCTGTTCTTGGCGCTAGGGTTTTACTCCACAGCGATGGCGAGCAAGAAAAAGAGGAATGGAGAGCCGGATCGCGAGGGATCGGAGCAGCCGCCGCAGCATCCATCGCCTCGCTCGTCAATCTGGAGGAATCGGAGCAAGGGCGACGACCCAGCCTCTCCGGAGGAAGAGCAAGCAAAGGTAATAATCTCTATCTCTTACTCTAGCTCTAGCTTGCGGAAGTGATTCCATAGCCTCTCTACTTCCGATCACCGTCTCCTTCTTCCAGGTGGATAGCCTGCGGTCGGCGCTGGGTTCTCTCACCGACAAATCGCAGCGCTACTGCACCGACGCGTGCCTCAAGCGCTACCTGCGAGCCCGGAACTGGAATCTAAAGAAGGCCGAGAAAATGCTTAAAGATTCTTTAAAGTGGAGGGCGACTTTCAAGCCAGAAAGCATCCGCTGGGTGAGATCTTAAATCCATGGCAAGCTTTTCTTCTGCTTGTTGGTTTTCTTTTTCTTTCTTTTCTCTCTGTCCTCGTTGCTGATGTTGATCGATGAATTTTCGTTTTCCAGGAGGACATAGCCATTGAATCCGAGACAGGCAAGGTGTATAGAGCCAATTTCGTGGACAACTACGGGAGAGCGATTCTTATAATGCGGCCTGCGAGACAGGTACTCCTTTACTTCTTTCTGTTGGTCGAGAGTTAAGATCTGGCAGCTTTTCTCCTCACCTTGTTTTTGGCTTTTCTCTCGATGGCACAGAACACCAAGGATCAAAATGGTCAGATACGGCAGCTGGTGTACTGTCTGGAGAATGCTGTTCTGAACTTGCCACCCGACCAGGAACAAATGGTGTGGCTCATTGACTTCCACGGTTGGAGCGTCTCTAACTCCGTTCCCCTCAGTGCCGCTCGCGAGACCGCTAATGTTTTGCAGAACCACTATCCCGAGAGGCTGGGCGTGGCGATTCTTTACAATCCCCCCCGGATCTTCGAGGCATTCTGGGCTGTAAGTTTCGAGTTCCCTTCTTCTTTTCCGCTTGCATGGTCAATAACTCGTGGCTGTTGCTTTGCGTTGCAGCTAGTCAAGCCATTCTTGGATCCCAAGACTTACAAGAAAGTCAAGTTCGTCTACAGCAAGGATCCCGACAGCGTCAAGCTGCTCGAGGACGTGTTTGACATGGAGAAGCTGGACACGTCCTTTGGAGGCCGCGGTAACTGCGAGTACAACCACGAAGACTACGGCAGGATGATGAAGCAAGACGACGTCAAGATGCAAGAGCACTGGCGCTAATCCGGAGCCGAGCTACTAACACCGGTAAAAATCGAAAGAGACCAACTTTCCGAAAGAAAAACTATTTTTCTACTATACACAGGAAGCTACAAGAGATCAGATCGGAGGAGATCCGAGAGAAGCGTGAGAGAATCGATGTGGTGCTCGCTCTCTCGGAGCCTCTCTTCCGCCAAAAAGCAATGAATGCGAGCGGTTTGAGCGTCTCTCTCTCCCGCTCCGCATCGTTTCTTCTTTAGCTCGATCGATGGACAGGATTGATTGGTCGCTGGGATTCCTTGCCAGGCGAGAGAGATCACGATTTGGAGCGTAACTTGGTGGCAACTTTGATGATCCAACCCCGAGACGTGGATGGATGGCGTTGACCTCACTCTCGCGTGATGTAAATGGTTGGGACATTCAACCAACATGTGGACTCATTTAAGTTCCACCACTGGACTGTGTGTGGTGCTGAGTTGTTGGTGGATGGGACTTTATAATCACCGCGCCACCTTTTTGCGTGGTACTTGACCTAATAATAGAGGGAATGTCCATGTTAGAAGTTAGAACAAAGAGTTTTCCACCTTTTTTTTTCTCTCTTTTTCCCAATCAATGCTGCCACCACCAAGAACAAGGGGGAAGAAAAAGAGTTTTTGGCCATTGTGGCATGGCTATGGTTCTCGTTACGTCGTCTTCCCTTTAAAAGCTTTTGGGGCTGGAAATGGGCTGGCGGGTGGATGTTCAAGTAGTTATTGTGGCCGCATGATCCATCCATCGCCGAGAAAGAGAGAGAGCTTTCCATCGTTTTAAGTTTCTAAGCAATCCTGGATAATGCAAAGAGGAGGCCAGCCAGGAGGAAGAACAGTGTATCAGCGCGGCAGTAGCGAGCGAGCAAACTATAGTGTGGGAAAGAGAACGCTCTTCTCCGCTTGGAGGAATTAATTTCTTCCCTGGCACCGACCAGGTGGATTTCAATGCGGCCAGGGCCGTATCGTCTTAGAAAGAAAGAGCGCTTAGCCGGGAAAGATGGATCGCTGGCTGGTAAAAAGAGGGAGTGAAAAGCTGTCGATCGATCGAGACGACAAAGATTCGAAACGGCGTCCTCCTCGTTCCTCCATAGCCGCGAGCGAGCGAGGTTTTCTTTCTAAGTCCTAGTATTTAAACTGGTTTTAGTTGAGGCATCTCGCTCGCTCGGTCCTGCGGCGTTTGCGTTTGTTCCTCCTCCTCTCCTCTCGCGCAAACTTGCCTCTCTTCGTTTTTTTCTCTTTTTTTCCTCGTTCCTCTTGGCGCTGGCAATGCTGGTGCTGCTGGTGCTGGAATCCTCGTGGAATCGCTTGCGCCCACAAGTTCTTCCACTCCCCGGCTGTTCTAGCTAGTTTCTCTCGAGTAGTTTGTAAGAAATATTCGTCTCAGGTACGTACGTCATTCCTTTTTCTAAGTTGGAAGAAGATCGAGCATGATTTGAAAGCTTGTGAATCTTGCAAGCTTTGAACTTCAGATCGATAGATTCACTTTCACTAGAGAGAAGAAGAGAGAAGATGGGATCCGGAGGAACTTTCAGTGATGACCCAGCAGCAGCAGTGCCAGCAAAGAGAAGAACAGCATCACCATCGCCACCACCACCTCTCCACAGATCCATCTCTCTCTTCCTCTCCCGCTATGTCTTCACACTCCACGCGGCGGCGCAAGCCACGCTCCTCCTCCTCGTCTCCGCCATCGCCTCAGGCCACCTGGATCTCTCCACCATCGCCCACCACCGCGACGCAATCGCCCACGACCTCCTCTCCATCCAGGCCGCGGTCAAGAGCTCCAAGCTCCTGGGAATCACCTCCGTCGCCACCATTTTCTCGCTCGGATGGATCGCGGCGCTGTGGCTCCTGGTGACGCGCAAGAAGAAGAGAACCGGCGTCTACATCGTCGACTTCGCGTGCTACAAGCCCGACGACAAGCTCAAGTGCTCGGCGGAGCTCTCGGAATGGTTCGCCAAGCGGCTGGGCGTCTACACCGAGAAAACCATGGAATTCTTCAAGAAGGTCTATCTCAAATCCGGAGTGGGCGACGAGACTTACGCGCCGCCCGCGATGTTCCACCACCCCAACGCGGATCTTAGCTGGAAGCAAGCCCGCGCCGAGGCGGAGCTCGTCATCTTCGGTGCGGTGGACGAGCTCCTGGCCAAAACCGGAATCAAATCCAAGGACATTGGCATCCTGGTCGTCAACAGCAGCTGCTTCAATCCCACTCCCAGCCTCTCCTCGATGATCGTCAATCACTACAAGATGGGTACCGACATCCGGAGCTTCAACCTGGGCGGGATGGGCTGCAGTGCTGGCATCATAGCGATCGACCTCGCCAAGGATCTCCTGGGGATGCATCCAAACACGTACGCGCTGGTGGTGAGCACCGAGAACATCACCCACAACCTCTACCTGGGCAACAATCGCCCCATGCTCGTCACGAACTGTCTCTTCCGCGTCGGCGGCGCCGCCATCCTCCTGAGCAACCACCCCTGCCACTCCCCCGGCGGCGCCGCCGCTGGCAAGTACGAGCTCCTTCATACCGTACGCATCCACAACGGCGGCGACGACAAGGCGTACGGATGCATCACCCAGGAGGCCGACAGCGATGGCGTTCTTGGGATCACGCTCACCAAGCACATCATGGTCGCCGCCGCCGACGCGCTCAAGAAGAATCTCACCAAGCTCGGCCCGCTCGTTCTTCCAATCGGCGAGCAGCTCCACTTCGCGGCCAACGTGATCGCGCGCAGCGTCTTCAAGCTCGATCGCAAGCCATACATCCCGGACTTCAAGCTCGCCTTCGATCACTTCCTGCTCCACGCCGGCGGCCGCGCGGTGGTGGACGAGCTCGAGAAGAGCTTGCGGCTGGGTGAGGAGAAGATGGAGGCGTGCCGGATGACGCTCCATCGATTCGGGAACACCTCGAGCAGCTGCGTGTGGTACGAGCTCGCGTATCTCGAGGCCAAGGGGAGGGTGAGGTATGGCGATCGCCTGTGGCAGCTCGGGGTTGGATCGGGATTCAAGTGTAACAGCGCCGTGTGGCGAGCGATCCGCGATATCGATCGACCCAAGTCGATGAATCCCTGGCTGGATTGCATCGATGAGTATCCACTGGAAGTTCCAACTGACATGGAAGATATCCCGCGCCGGGAGAAGCTCTACTTCCAGACAGTGGATGGATTGATCGTGGATACCAGTACGGGTCAAGCGTATGCCAAGGATGGATCGCTCGTGACGAGCGATTATAGAGCTCCAGCCCCGGATCATCCATCCTCCGCGGCCGGAGAGAATCATCGTGATCATCCAGCCAGGGAGAATGGGGTGATCGTGTCCAACGGAACCAATGGCGTCCACCACCATTAGGCACGGATCGTGGATCCAAGAACACGATGCATGGGATGTTCGTTTCGACGACGGTATATCAAACGGGTTGCATTGATTCGTTCCAACTTCCTGCGAGAGTTCTTCCAAGTTCTTCCAGGGCCATGGTTTTAGGATTTGAGAAAATTTGATTGGTTTGTGGGTTTGAGATTCATAGAGTGTCATTCATGCCGGCTATGGTGGACATCTCTCTTTTTCTGATATTTCACTTCTCTTGGGGAGGGATTTTATTAGCGCGAGCCAGATGTCCTCCATAGCCAGCGATTGCTTCACAGCTCCTCCTTAATAATCACCAAGAAAGAAGGAGAATTCAATGCCCGCCATCTTTTCCATATCAATGCCGAATCAACGTATACCCAAACCCGTTTTTTGGTTCATTCTAAAACGAGGACCAGCGCTGACTGGTAGTGCGACACATATCCATTATTGACTTCGAATCGTGGACCGCGAAGATTGTCAGGGTTGGTCAACTACTAGCTTTGTTCTCTTACTCGTTTCAGTCCATCCAGTCAAAGATTTCAAATCTGGTCAACAGATTATGGGAAACTCTATATTATTAATCCAACCAGAGAAAAATCTAACGAGATTCCGTTGTAGTCTAGTCGGTCAGGATACTCGGCTCTCACCCGAGAGACCCGGGTTCAATTCCCGGCAACGGAACCACCTTTTATATTTACTTGTGATTTGCGAGATCTTGCAAGAGCTTGATTCTTTTGCAGGACTTTCTTCTAGCGTTTGTAAGCGTCCTTTCATCTTCAATGTCATATTTTTGACAAACTATTGATTCCGGATATGGTAGTTTCACAAAGGATTAACCTTGAGGAACTTTAGGAACACCTCAACATTCACATGATAGAGCAACCATTTGGATTGTCATCACTGAAGAAGAAGGAATCCCCGACTGGAAATGTCGTAGCACTTTCGCGCTGTTCTTGCTGGCCAGAAGATTTCACCTTGTTGCCGCCGCCGCCCACCGCCTTGTGATCCGACCCTCTGGCGGCGCCGCTACTGTCTTTGGCACCGGCCAGCTCGACGTTCTTGCCAGTCTTTTTGGCGATTTGCTTGACGACTTTGTTCGAGTCGAAGCTGCCAGTGACCGTCACCTTCTTTTGTGTGAGATCCACAGTGATGGATTCCACTCCTGGTGCATTGGAGAGTTTGATCAATGGGTGGGCGATCCACACAAAGGAAGACAAAAATGGAAGCTTTGCTTGGTTACCTTCCACTTGACCGATCGCCTTTTTCACCTTGCGAGCACAGCAGTTACAGTTGATCTGGACCTTGAGCACGACACTCTGGAGAATCGATTGCTCAGTGCTTTGAGATCTAGAAAACGATTGATTTCCACAACTCTACCTCAGATTTCTTCATCTTGCTGCTGGCGTAGATATCTTCAGCGGTGGAATCCAAGATCCTAGCGGCAACTGACATTTTTCCTTGTTTCTCTCTTTTCTATCTTCTTCTTTGCTCGGTCCGTCCGTTGCTTGCTTCGTTCGATCGAGTGAATGTGTCAGTAAATTTAAGCCGTTTTTCCCAACGCCGAGGCACCGGGAGCCTCGTATACGTGTGGTGTGACTGATTGAGATTTGTGAATCTCCACGTACGGAAGTTAAATCTTGTCACGAAACTTTTCCTCGAGAGGCTAGTTTGTGCGCCATTACTCTAGGAAGTACCATATATATTGTTATGCTTAGCAACCAATTGTTTGGTTTGCAGTGAAATCATTCATTCATTCCTCTGGTGTATCCATTTGTGCTTGTTTCTTAAATAATGTTAAACACTTTTCCTAACATTACATAATTTCTATTATTATTATTTTATATAAAAAATAATTTGTATATACCTAAAATATGCTTGAATATTTTGGGATATTTTACCATCTAACAGTTGTTATTTATATAGATTAATTTCGTATTAATATTTATAAACATGTTTATAATGTATAAGTTTTCCTAAACACTTCTTAGTATATTCTAGTTTATTCTGCCATTTAATGCAATAAAATTAATCTTATGTTTATAAATTATAAACATCCATGATCAATTGGATTAATAAATAGGAATAACATTACTATTAAGCAAACCAAGAATTACTGTATGGAATGTGCAGCAAATTATTTTATAAATTTATTATTTGTTAAAATTTTGTTAATTAAATTTTTTCTTTTAAAAATTTTAAATATCTACAAATTGTACAAAAAGTAATAAGCTCATGACAAATATAATTATATATTTAAATTTGTCTGAATAAATGGCATTAAAATAAAATGTCTGAAAACTTTATTACAATGGTATTTTCATCCAAATCATATTAACTAATATTTATTGCTATTAGTTCTTTGACACAATAATTATAATTAGTTTTAAAAATATAGCTAATATTTTTTTTCTTTTAAAGAATTGGTAATTGCAAAATATGTACTGTGAGGGCCAAGTGTACGGCTACAATACCGTAATATTAGCGTAGTGGATTTTGGTAGCCGTCGGATTGGTTTCAATCCGGACCACTCGCTCCTGTATATAAGCTAGGGTTTTTGGGCTAATTGATATGCACATTTCTGTATTCCCTTTCCATATACCAAGCACTCACATTGGTGGAGATGAGGGGCAACTTTGATTGTCCCTGAGGAGTGCTTAGATTTGGGATTTTGGTTTAGATCTAGCTTTTGCATCGTCTAGATCTAGCTTTTTCCATTTCCTTTCTTTTGGTTTAGATCTAGCTTTTTGCGTTGTCTAGATCTACCATTTCCTTCTAGCTTTTTGTCATCTCTCTTCTTTTGCTCTTTCTTTTTCGCTCATCTTCATGGCAGATCCGCAATCTCCTCCTTTGACTCTAGAGCAGCAGTTGGTACAATTGCTTGATGCTATGCGCTTGCAATTGAACAACCAAACTCAGTTGATGGCGGCGTTCACGGCACGTGGTACAACTCCTCTTGCTCTTGGTGCTAATCCTCGCGTTCGGCCGGAGTTCTTTCGCGGGAATCCTGGGGATGATGTGTACCATTGGTTTGATCACTTCACGGTGATTGCCACATATCATTCTTGGGATGATGCTCGACGTTTGCGTGAGTTTCCCACGTGTCTCCAAGGGACGGCATTGCAGTGGTACAATGGTTTGAGCGCAGCCACTCGTGGGGATTGGAGTGTTCTCCCGGACGTCTTCAAACGCGCCTTCGGCCATGCTGATGATTGTGATGATGCTTTCCAACAATTGCATCGTCTTCGCCAAGGGCCATCTGAGTCGGTGATGCAATTTGGCGTTTGTTTCCGAAGTCTTTTGCTTCGTGCGGAGCCAAATATGTCGGAGCGGATCAAGCTAGGAATGTTGTGGCCAGCACTTCGTCAAGATCTTGTCGGACTTGTGCATGCACTTGCTCCTGCCACCCTTGACGATGCTCTTCGCTTGGCACAACGTTATGAGACGTCGCCTCTTCCACTTCTCGCTGCACGTCCTTCCGCTCCCCTTCCTATGGGTGATGGTCCTGTTCTAATGGAGGTTGATGCTGCTGCTGCTCGAGTCCAAGGACAAGCGCGAGGACGTGGTCGTGGCCGTGATGTTCGCTGCTGGGCGTGTGATGAAGTTGGTCATACTTATCGGCGTTGCCGTCGTTTTCCGGATTGGCGACCTCCATTTCCTGGGTGGAGACCTTGGCGTCAGCAACGTCCCGTGGGTGCTGCTGCAGTGGAAGGTCTGGACACCGAGATGCATCCGGGAAACGAGGAGTCGCGTGAGTAATGGAGGGACCTTACGCGAATAAATCAGTGACCCCTCCATCTTTCTTTCGGGAGTATCATCAAGGGGTTCACTCGGCACCGGTTCATCCCATGTTTACTTTCCAAGCTCGTTTTTATAACAAGAGGTCTCCTATTATTCTCTCCGTGTTGGTTGATACAGGTTCGAGTTTATCTTCTATTGCTCGACCTGTTACCACACGTTGTCGTCTACACTTGCGTCGTGCGGCGGAACCAGTTTTCATTCTTTATGGCAACGGCCGTACACATGCATGTGCACGGGACAAGGTGGACCTGGTTGTGCGTGTGGGCGATCTCGAGCTTGAGTTGCAGTCGTTGCGGGTGGTGCCGAGTCAAGCTTTTGACCTCATTCTTGGTATGGATTGGTTGCAGCGCAATCATGCCAAGTGTGACTTTGAGGCTTCTCCCCCTTGTCTCATACTTCCTTATGTTTCATCCATTCCTCTCACTTCCATACCTCTTTGTCCCTCTATTTCTACCTCTGCTTCCATTACTTTTGTTCCCCCACTCTTTCCTTCTGTGTTTCCATCTTGTTCTGCTTTTCCCTTTTCCGATCCCTCCGACGATCTTTGTGTTGCAGCAGTTGACCGGCTCATGAAGGAGTATTCTGATCTCTTTGAATTTGACCTATTGTCTGGGGCCAAGATTGCCACATGTCATCCGATTCCAACCGGGGATGCTCGTCCAATCAAGGTTTCTGTTCGTCGTCGGTCACCTAAGGAGATCAAGATTTTACGAGCCAACGTCAAGGAAATGCTGGAGAAGGGTGTTATTCGGAAGTCACGGAGTCCTTGGGCATGTGAACCTCATCTTGTGATGAAGCCTAATGGGAGTATTCGTTTCTACATCGACTATCGCCCGTTAAACGAAGTGACGATCCCAGATGTGTATCCTCTTCCTCACACTGCTGATCTCTTAGATCGTCTGGGGCGAAGTCGTTGGTTCACCAAGCTAGATCTTGCTTCTGGGTATTGGCAAGTACCGATGGCCGAAGAAGATATTCCTAAGACTGCTTTTCGTACATCATTTGGTTTGTACGAGTTCTTGGTGATGCCGTTTGGTTTGAACAATGCTCCCGCAACTTTCCAGCGGATGATGGACGAGGTTCTTTGCGATATGCCGGAAGTGACTGCTGACTTCATTGATGATGTCTTGATCCACTCGGAGGGGACGTGGGAGGAGCACGTTCGTGATGTTTGTAAAGTGTTGGATCGGCTACGTGATGTTGGTTTAAAGCTGAAGCGGTCAAAGTGCGTGTTTGGGTCCAAGGACACAACTTATCTTGGGTACCGTGTTTCTCGTGAGGGTTTGCAAGTTGATCCTAACAAACTTGTGGCTGTTTTAAAGTTCCCTACTCCGAAATGTGTGAATGATGTGCAGCGCTTTTTGGGTAAGGTGCAGTATCTCAGTCGTTTTGTGGATCATCTTTCCAATTGCACTACACCATTGCGAGCGTTGCTGAAGTCATCAACGTCATCTTTCATCTGGTCTTCGGATTGTGAGCGGGCGTTCGTGGATCTCAAAGAGCTATTGATGACTCCTCCGGTTTTGGCATATCCTGACTACACTCGACCTTTTATTTTGCG